CCGTCCCGCACGATTCGAGACGGTTGGAAACTATGATTCTATACCAAGAATATATTACTTTACAAATAATTAATTTCACAACATTTTTCATCGTTTTCACACATTAACTATTTCACGTAAAACATTGATCGCAATGAATTTATATGCATTACCGGTAGCCTATGTAAAAGGAGTATCATCATGTCGGTTACATATACTGGTTACAGCTCAATTATCGGTTAAAAAAATATTATTATTTCCAAAATAATTTTAACTTTTCACTATAACTAATATGGTACTAATGCTCTACATGAAATAAGTTTTGTTGTCAGGCATAATAAGCGTAGTTTATTATGAGCAAATTCAGGAGAAAAAGGAGTAAAACGCAGGGCCAATTGAAAGCAACATCTTTACTACAGGTAACACTTTACTATTTTATAGTTTACTTTTGCTTAAGAATTATATTGTTTATTAAGTGTGTTTTTTGTTTTAAAGGTGGTTGAATGGTAACGAAATAACCAATTTAAGACTAGGTGTATTCAGTGATTTGACTAGTCTTCAAGTATTGTAAGTGATAATCCACAAGTTATGAATAATTGTATTATCATATTAATTATTTTTTAGTTAATATGCCTACGAGATTTTTGATAGTTGTGATAATATTAATAATAATATAATAATAATTAGTGATATTATTTCCTCCAAATTTAGATTATACAACAAAGGGTGATGTTTTATAAACATCCCGGTGTAGTGGTCCATTCAGTACCCTGTCTGTCTCTTATACACATCTAGATGTGTATAAGAGACAGTATATATATATATTAGATATAAATATTAATATAATATAATTCACAATCATCAATGATGATTGACGGCTAACCCATAAAACTGGTTCTATGATTTTTTATATATATATTTGGATTTTTGTATGATAGAGTGTTGCCCTTTAATATTAATCATCAAATTCACTGCTGTAAGTTTTTGTGTTTGCTGTTGCTTTTGAGTGTTAAATGTTTCTAATCCTTTTAAAAATGTTCAGTAGCTGTCCTATTTGTGCTAATTTTTATTATCTTCTTGATGTATTGTTAAATGTACTTCTTGTTACTTTAATGTGATTTTTTTTTTGGTTTTTTTAATGGTATTTTGATGATGTTCTCTTAAAGTTTACGGTATAATTTGTGAAATTTGTGAAGTGTCACCTTCGCAAAACAATCATCAATAACCACATTCAAAGCGGTGGAATTTTATGATGAGCTTACCCATATCGTTAACAAGCTTACACAATCTTAATGGTTATTTGATTTGTTTTGCTCAGCCAGCACTTGCAAGGTGAAAACCTAAAATATTCCAGCGCACTCAAGTGTAAACAGCCTCAAAACTAATTATTTGTGGTTGTTTGCAAAGAAATTTATGCTCATGTACAGCTATATTTAGGATCATTCCTAGACTGGGTTCCAGTTCCTAAACTGTCTTAATTGTTTGTTTGTTCGTTCCTAGAAAATAACAATAAAAAACTAATAACAATAAGATTAAAGTAATTAATTATACAAGTATTTTTTCAGGAAGTACATTTTAGAGAACATCCTGTATACATTGTGACAATTATTATAATCATATTTTCATTGAATTTTATGGGCTAAAGAACTTTCATTCACTGAAACCCCAAACGTCTATTGTTGATGAATCGTGTAAGAAGTTTTGGATGGGTCATATAAGCTAAAAGCTTACCAACCAACCCAAAAACATCAAGCAAGTAATCAAGCAAGTAGACCCCTATAGTCTAGGACATTTATTTGTATTTTAGGCCTCCGGCCCCTTTACATAACAAAGTAAAATTTAGAGAACAGAAGAAAGTAAATCACGTCTTCTTATATAAGCGAAATACAGATATTCTGATAAATTATATAAAACATTACGATTATTTGACATTAAACTTAAAAAGTGTTGGATTTTTATAAAAGAAAGATGGAATTAGGTTTTTCCTAATACTGTATCATTATAACGTATTAAAGTAAAACATATTAAAGTATAACATATTAGAGTAAAATGAAATTCATCTTCTATGCATTGGTTTGAACATAATTTACATATTCTATTGTTTTTGTTCACCATATTCCATCTGCCTCTATTTCTAAATCTAAAATGCCAATTTGAATTTTTGTTAAAATACGTCTATAATCTAATCTATAAATAATAAATAATTTTCTAATTTAAACTAATTTTTAAAGGATTTAAAATGATTCAATCTTGAATATGTTTTCACTTTTTCATTGAAATGTTGTCTTTCCTATATAAATAAGCCTTAATTTTAGCTCAGAATCAAAAGAAGCAGAATCATCTAACCAAAACCAATTAAACATAAAATTTGCTTAACATAATATAACCAACATAATTCATTTCGTTCGAATTTTCTAAATTGGAAAAGATAACACTCATAAATAAAACAATCATGGTCTGTTTGAATTAAGCATGTAACGAAAAGATCAGTGAAAATCAGTGAAAATGGTGTTCCATATTACTTTATTTGCTTGGCATTCTTGACATAAACCGACACTGGTGGCGCTCTTCAAAATTATCTAATACAAGAAATAATCAATAAATTAGAGACTTGTGGCAAGTCTAGATCATTCCCTGTCCCAATACAGTCAAGACAGAACACACAATAAACAATCACCATCTCCAAGTTCATTTTTTATTTGAGAAGCTGATTTAATATTTACGAATCAATTCAATTACGGTAGTTGAAAATTGCAGTCACATGCACACAGAATTGTACAAAACATGCAAACAATTTTTGAAATGAGTAGAGTATAATATCATATTTGACCAAAAAAAATACAGTACACTGTACAAGTTAGTGTAACAATTCTATGGCCCAAAGTTAGTGGCGCCGTAAACATGTTTGAGTTAGGTTAGCACCGAAGGATAATAAGGTGGGATCCAAATAAGAACAACTTTTTTAGAGTAATTAATCACACTAATTACCTTATTTAAATTAGTGTTAAATTTGGGTTCATTTCAAAGGTGTGGTGGAAAGGAAAGGTACCACTTAACATTTTTAAGTAGATTTAATATTAAAAACAACTGATAAATTATAATAATTTTTTTTTTTTTTAAACGACAATAATGTGTCAACAAATATTAATATAATAATAAAAATAACATTAATGATGATAATAGTAATCTTGATAATTGTAACAATAATCAAAATATACAATAAAAATTGTTTTGTGGATATTACACAAAAAAAAAACACCTTCATATAGGCCTACACTTCAACAGAAAAATGTAAAAAAAAAAAAAATATGTGATGTTTATTTCAATAGATTTGCCATGTGACATAAAAATTACCAATAAAAATGAAGCAAACAGTGAAGGAATAGTTTCAATATAGTAGAGGAGCAGCTTTGGTAGATAACACAATTTTTTATCACAATCAAAAACACATCTTAAAAACATCTTTAAACATTATAATCAGCCAATCTTCTAGGATAAGCTGGATGGCTCACCCGCTATATTAATATGGTTAAAAACGTAATGGCAAACGTTGATTAATACTTTAGTATAAGGCATATAATACGAGTATCAATGTACACCAAATCATAATTTCTTTATGATGTTGTAAGATGAATGTACAATGTCTTTACTTTGAGAACATTTACAAGATAAATCCAAGAAAGAAATTTACATCTGTTATTAGAACCCTGGTTTATATCAAGAATATACAGTAATATGATCACAAATGATAACGCATTACAAACAATCCTGAAGTAAAGTGATAAATACGATCAAACAATGGTAGAAGTCAAAATATATATTAGTGACTTACACATTATGAAACTTAATTACTTCTAATAAACATTTTATTTCCATATACAATATAAGGTATGTATACATGTGCTCCCTTTTACCATTTTACCAACACCATCAAATTTTCCTATTCCTGTATTATGCTTTACCCACTCCCAGCCTCATATGGCACGATGTAGCATTTTCCATCCACTTCATGAATTGATATATCTATAGTATCCACCATAAACACAGCATCTGCAATATAATCTGCTGTTCGTCATAGCATAGTATCCATTTTATTACTGTATCAAATCCAACAATCAGTAGATGCACACTATCTGATATAGAGTACACCATTGGACAGTATCAGCTATCCACATTAGTAGTAGTACAGTATATTATATCAACCATCATTATCAGCTATTCTCTGTTACAGTATTAGTTGTTCACCATCATACAGTATTAGGTATTCACCACGGGACAGTAGCTACCATATCTAACATAGTACATTTATCTGTAGTACAGCATCAGCTATCCACCACAGAGAAGTATCTGATATCCATTAATTGTAGATTATTAGCTATAGATGCATCACAACACAATATTTGATATCCACCGGTGCAGCTGTACAGTATTAGCAATCCACCATTATAGTATCAACTACCATTCCACAACCAAAGGCATATTTCATCTGTTTTACAGTATTAATAATAATAATAATAATAATTATATAGTATAATTATTTCCAATCCTGAATGCAATATCTAATTCAGTAATTTCTATTTAAATTCTATATTTAAAAAAAAAGAAATCTTTTCAGAAATATCTAATATAATTTAAATCCACCATGTAATATAATTATTTTATTGTTTTAAATACAATCTTATTTATATAAAGTCAATTTCACAAAAAATAACCACCATATATACAGAAAGGAATGTAATTACAAGAAAGTTGTGTGAGCAACAATTTTAAATAATATTTATATCAAACACTGATCAAAAATCAGATTTCTTTCATCCCATATCGATAAATATAAACTGTATTGGCAAAATATCCACATTTCATAACTTCTAATATCAACCTCAGATTTGATCACACACCAATATCTCATTGGTCAAAAATTACTACCACATCAATACCAGATATTGATTATGTACTCTATTGCAATATTCCATATTGACCATGTATTAATATGCCATATTCATCATGTTTCAATATCCATATTGATCAAGTCAATATTCAATACCCACATTTCAATATTGAATATTAATAACAAATTACAATAGTTATTAATGTCTAATATTGAGTACATTATCAATATACCATATTGATCAAATATCATTATCTTATAATGATCAATTATCATTATTTCATACCAAACAAACTTTTATCTCATTATATTGATCAGATATTACCATACTGCATTGATTAATATTTCAAATGTTCATCAAATAGTGTTATTCCCATATTCAGCAAATGTTAACCCATACTAACTATTGTTATCCCATACAGTACACATATTGTTTAACCATATTAATCAAATACTTTTCTCATATTGATCAAAATCATTATCCAATATTATTTACTAACTAAATAGTTATTCCATACATTGATTAACTACTGCTATCCCATAATTAAACTATTGCTATCCCATAATCAAACTATTATCTTATACGCTCTATGGCTATAATGACTAACTCTTGTTATCCCATTAACTAGTTTTATGCCATATTGACAAAATATTGCTTTCCCATCATATTTATCAAAAATTGTTATCCCAATTGATCACATTAATAACTCATATTAATACACATTACAGTAACATACACATTATGTAGATCTTACATTGATCAAATATTATATCACTCCCCTTTTTTACATACCAGTATATACGAACATCATATAATAGACTATTGAATAGAATAAAAATTACTGTGTAGAAATATATATTTTGAAATTAAATTGCATATTTAAAAATAAATTGAATACGCATTTATGAATACATGACACATACATTATATCAATAAAAAACAACCAAGAAAAAAATATCCATGAATCTTGAATACACTTTGACCTTTGAACTTAGAGTTCACTATGATGAGCATAGACATTCAAGGTTCTTTCAATATGCTTTATACTTTCTTAGTGAATTGATGGCTACAAGATACACTGTGTCACAGCCAATACTTGCCAAATAGCATGACATAGTCGCTTTAGACAAATGACATCGCAATATGTTTCCTCCAATTTTTCCTATTACTGTTATTTTGAATTATTTTGTTTTTATATTCATTATTCCTCTTGGGTTTCCTAATGCCAGTTCTGTGCAATCACATGATAATTAACTAAGTACTAAAATATTATTTTGACAACCATTTATTACAGAATGAAAACATCCTCCAGCATCATCTGTCCTCCCATTGTTGTCAGTATTATTATAAATGATTGATAGTGTATATGCATTATTCATTTTCCTTGCATTTATACAGACTTACTGTATAGTTTGGATTCCGTAATTATTATACCGTAATTAAATTCTGCAATAATTTTGCCAATAATGTTTAAAATATAAACATGTTAAGATCTTCAACCCAGTGACTGAGGCAGTGTATAATCCCATTAAACCTATGACACACTTTACCTAACATATCAATATTAATTTGTAGGTTGGAGATGTATGTAATATTTAATGGACATGAAGGCTTAGTATAGGTAAATCAATATTGATGGTGGTGGTCTATGACATTATGCTGTTTATCCCGCAAAGCTTTTCTTCTTCAGGTACATATGTTCAGGAGGAACATATTTTCAAAATACCATTAATCCAAAATCAATCAAAATAACAATGTATAAAAATCCTTTTTAAGGCAGCAAAACCTCCCACTACAGTACTCAAAACTATGACTTCTTATGAATACAACAAACTATGAGAAAAGTCCCAGTTAAACAAAACATTTAAAAGGAGATTGAATATCATTGTATGCTGACATATCATAACCAATTGCCAATCAATCCCATACTGAATAGCATACAGGTCACGATATTAAAATATTTGCAAACCAAGCAAGGCTAAGCAAAATTAAACAGAATTCGACATCTAGCAACTGTGTACACAAATTCGTCAACACATTAACACATTCACTAGCCTAGATGTTTTCAGTGCCTGTTCCAAAACCAATCCAACCATTACATTTCTGCTGCTCTCTCACAATTCTTTTCTGTTAGCACCCACAACAATTTGTTACTTCTGGGCACAATAGGTTTAATGTACTTAATTAAATATTTAGATATCTTACAAAAATGGAGAATGTATTATGGTTCTCCTTCATGTCTCCTACAAAGAACCCAGTCATGCATGAAGTATATTCAAATGTTAAAGTTATCAATACAAAAAAAAAATGGAATTACTACCATCACGGGTATAGTAAGTTGCAAAACACATTTACATTCAAAATATCAAAATAGTTGATTACTGAATTTTATTAGATTAAATTGTTGAACTGAAAAACTACTGTAACTTTTTCACAATTGAGTAGTAATTTTGAGTTATAATGTGAAGTCTTCAGAACAAATTAGATTTAAATACAGCAATTAAGAATTAGCATTTTATATACTATTTGCTTTTTGTATTATTCAAATATTTCAAGCACATAAGGCGAAAACTCAAGTACTGTCAGAATGTAAATTTAGTAAAAAAAAAACAAATATAATTCTTTAATTAAATGTGGCTAAGTAATATTCTAATTCTTTACATCTTAAATTTATTTTGAAAATAAGCAATTTGTTTTGAAATTGCATGCTACTTTTATGAAGCTTTTATAAAAATTAGTTTCCAAAAATTTGGTTTCAAGTATGGGCAAGTGTAAGATTTTTAAAAATGTAAGAGAAAAAGAAAACCCAAAAATACACATTACAGTATGTATTATGTTTTCTGCTATTTGGAAATTTTGGTTTTGGAAAACTTTGAAAGTAGGATTTTAATACTGATATTCATGAAGTTTGTTATATAGGTCTATGAATAAATAACATGTACAGAAAACATTTACCCAACAGAATGTATGCATGGAAATGGATTGTTTCGCAGTTCAAAACTATCGCAAAGAACATGTTAGGGGTTAGTATGTAAATTGTTTTCTCTAAAAACTGGTGAGTTGTTGGTGGTTCTGATTTCTTCATAGTTGTCTAGCATGCGCAACTACTCCTTTGATCTCCTGCTTCGTCTAACTCCATTGGAACATTTTTGCCGTTGTTCGCTACAAAATTTGGAAACTGATTCTTATCGACACTTCTTTCCATTCGTAACATCACATTGTCCAAGAGACATTCAATTGCTTTGGCAATATTATGACCTGTTTTCGCACTCGTTTCAAAGTATGGCAATCTGAATATGAAATTTAGGAAAAAAAAAATGTGTTTAAATGTGAAATTTTTTAGACACAAAACCACTTTTACAGTACTATAAACAAATCAATTTTTTGATGCAAGGGTAGTAATAAAAAGGGAAAACTAAGTACCGATCTTCAAAAAAGCCTAAAATTTAAAAATACAATAGATAAACAAGCGGCAAAAGTTGTGTGATTCAACCTCTGAACACTTAAAGGTTGCTGGTGTCTAGTCCCAAAGGTACATTAATGTCAAATTGATTCCTAAGATCCAGAGAGCACATTTGACATTTCCATTTGAGGCTGCTGTATTTAGTGATCATTAAGAACCAGCAGACAATTTGTTCCACAGATTAGAGGCGCATTATTCAACAAGGATGATTCCCATAGGATCTCTAGTTAATGCAAATGACATGAAGCTTAACAAGAACATTGTGAGAGTCAACGAATACGGGCAAGGATAGAGTGGTTTGTGAGATGCAATCAAGCAGGCAGGTTTACGACATTAAACAAGGCTAATATACAAATTGTTGCAAGTCCTCCGATTCTACCTAAAAAAGGCAAGCTTGTGAGATTTAACCAATCAGGAAAGGTTTGATACTACATGTAATTGATTAAAACATGCAAACAGAAAAACAGATACATCCAAAAGTACAAGGATGCAAGCCATGTTTTAAGTTATAACCAAGCAGAAATGGTGGTGATATAATGCAACTAAGCTGATAAGGTTGAAATATAACCAAGCAAACATGTTTGTGAAATAAAACCAAGCAGACTATGTTTGAGATACAAAAAAGCCGATGTTTTAAGAAGCAACCAACCAACATGATCAATACTTTTCAGTTTTAAGCCGAGTTTATGAGATATAACTTGTCCTTCAATGCTTGCCAAGTTTACAAAGGCTACAGTAGTGCAGTGCAGGAGTATCATCCATAATGATCAAATGATACGTTCTGTTGAATCAGTTGATTTTAAGTATACAAGAGTTGCTTCCTTCCCTGCTCGAACCCTGCGCGAACCCTACGCCTTCAATATCTTTCATGGCATGCTCTCTCAGTCCATCTTACGACGAGGCATTTGATCTTGCCAATATCACTTCTGTCAATATTAATGTGGCTCTTCAATTTCTGAATTTTTACTTAATTAAATTAGCGTTCCAAGAAATTGTCCATGTTATGCAATTTAGTGAAAGTTTGTGTCATTCACTGCTTAATTTTAATGGTTGACTAATGTTTGTTTTATAAAGGTAATAGCCTTTTATGGCTCAAAAAGCAATAAAGTAATTTAATCTTGAATGCATTCACAATGCTAAAACCAGTGTTGAATAAAAAATGCTGAGTTTAAAAGAAACATGGCAATGTGTTACATTAATGTGTAGTTATTCAACCTGTCGTATTAACACAGTAGTTCATTACAATCATGGAAGAAATATATTATCTTAATATAATTTTCCCAATGATATAATACATCTCAGTGGTTAAGATGCTTGCCTATCAATTCCAGGGTCTCGAGTTCAAATCCTGTCATGGTAACAGGATTTTTTTTTTCCTCATGACCAAAAACAAATCTACTCCTTAACTCTCAGTTTACTATGTAGAGCATCTTCAATGTATTTTAACTCGTGAAAGGGATTACCACTTACTGTACTGCAATTTATTGGACATCATCTTTTTTTTTTCTCAATACTGGGACAGGTTTAGACAACATCTAACAGTAAATCAAACAAACTTATGAAACAAACTTCAAGAACAGTGGGTCAACGGATGAAAGTTATCATTCTATAATTTCAAGTTTTATTCTATCATTTTCATTCCTCAATATAAAGTTTGAAATATAAAAATCATAATGGCTGATATCACTTTCTTCAAAGTTGTTTTTACATACCATCTTAACAAATACTGTTAAATCTAATACCAGCACATTTCAATGTGATATTTGATTACAGTGAAGAATTTGGTGTGTTGACATACATAGGGCATTTAGAAAATACAACCATCAAAATATGTCACTGATACTACAGAATTACATTTCTTTCCTAAGGGATTACACTGATAACACATGAAATATAGACACAGAATTTTAAGATTACCACACTTCAAGATATTCATATTGCGATGAGATTAAGTTGGCAACATGCAGAATACTATTTATATTACAAGGGATTTGGCCAAGTTTATACAGCTGCCATTTAAGGATTCCATTTGAAAAAAAGTCAGTGCATAAGGTGTCAGTGTCATTTTAAATCACAGTTATGCTATGCAAATTTTATTGTGAAAATCGATATCTAATATTATATTCTGCCTTAATATCCATACATTTTAATTCAAAAATTAATTCCAAATAAATTGAAAAAGACAATCCATCACAGAGTACTCAACATATCTTAATACTTACAGTATATAGTACTTTAAAACTAAAAGAATAGTAATGTTTCAAGACTTTCATGAAACATTTAATTCCACTATTTAGACTTCTGTTTGAACTCAATTAAATAATTGGCTAATTTTATGTTTCTTTTTTCCATACTTGTAAACACTAGGGACCAGTTTTACCTAACAGTCACTTAAAGGAATTTTTAAAGAGGCCACTTTTTACCAGGGACATGGGAAAAGAATACGGAATTGTATCTCCATGAATGGACACTTTGTACTGGTACTGGCATTTATAATGCGCCTCTTCCTTGTGGTTATAAAGCGCAGTTCCTTTCCCTGGTCATTGGGTCCTCATGCTAAGTGTTGTTGCTGGAGCAGGCAACCCCACCAGGTACCCATTTATACTCCTGGGTGGAGAGAAGCAATGCAGATAAAGTGTCTTGCTCAAGGACACAAGCGAAATGCACAGCGAGGAATTGAAACCCCGACCTCGAGGTTGGGAAATCAAACCGTTCCCGCTGCGCCAAACCACTTCTATGTATACACCCTCTTGTATTTTGTTCTATATAAGCTCTGTCCATTCCAAGTTTTCTGTGATAAACTTTATCTGTGTGTTTATTAGGATTCCTAATTAGCTAAGGAAAACACATTAACAAGATTGAATTGAAACTGGGTATTTGCAGTCAATTATTCTGCGGAGGATCCATAATATTTGAAACGAGAGGGGACCACTTAAATATAGGCCTACCAGTAGATGTAATATAGTTATACAGATAAATATGTACCCAATCGTCACGTAACATTTAGTATTTGTATGTAATTGTGTATCTTTTCTGTTAATAAATAAAAGACGGTAGTGGCAAAAATGTGGACACGTTCCCAATCACTAAATGAATTTTTGGAAGGAGTATGAAATGAAGTTGGATGGATGATATGAAAACATGTAGAGTGCTTTGTGGAAGCAGGTATCGCAAAGTAGGGAGGTGTTAAATTTGGTGGAAAGACTTGCCCCTGGTCAGCTCTATTTGTCATGCACAATTAACTTGAGTGAATATCACATTATTATCAGTACCATTATTACTTACCCAAACTTTTCCGCCATTTCTTTTGCTTTCTCATCACTCACGATTCTTTGGTCTTCGAGGTCAGCTTTGTTGCCGCACAAAACAATATCTGGACTTTCACAGTACGCATGCATCTGTAGCTGCGTCATCCAGTTACGAATATTTAGAAACGATTGCTCATTAGTCAAATCAAAGATAAGGATGAAACCCATGGCATCTCGGAAAAAGGCAGTTGTTAAACTACGAAACCTGAAAAAGTGAAACAGACAAATTATTTAGTTTTCATTAAGTTACTGAGTTTTTACTCAGAAATCGTTTGTCTGCTAGCTAATTAATATAAGGATCTATAATTTTTAAAGAGTAAGGAGCATGCATCTGTTAATTTCTAACAAAAAATGAATGAAAATACCTTGTTCAAAGAAAATGGTTCTTAAAAAACTACTTCATATTCAATAATAATAAAAAAAAACACTAACAAGTCAAACATTTTTTATAAATAGACTGAACAGAATTTAAGAGGAAGGTTTGACTAGGTTATGATAAACAATTAGAATATAAGCTCTAACATCAATAGAGAGTAAATCATTAAAAGCACCACTATAAAAGAATTGTTATCTGATGACAATATACCTTTCTTGTCCAGCAGTATCCCATAATTGCAAGTGTACTCTTTGACCTCTAGCTGTGCTGTCGGAACCTTTTGGCCTGTGCATCTGCAAATAAAATAAATTTACCAATACATTTTTGAGTATTCACACTACTTAGAATTATTTAGATCCAGTGTTAGGTTCGAGGAGGGAGATATGGTAAGATTCTGAGAATACTATTTTCTTTAATCGGTGCCATTGCCATAAAAGTTTGAACCTCTGAGCCCAACTATGATGTGGATCAGGTGGTCTGACACATTATTTGTAAAGTCTCTCCTCTCCAAAAGCCACTATTTTAAAAATTCCCGACTGCACCGCTAAGATGAGAATATCCAGCCAGCGTAATAATACCAATATGACATACTGTATAAAATATGGATGTTTGAAAATTACCTGTACAGATTTTCTAATATCAGAATCATACATTACATAATATAATTATATTATGATAATGATCACTTCAGAGACAGAGAATACAAATGATATTACAAGACTTTACAAAATATTAAACTATGGTATATGTTGTCATCCGTTCGGTGGAATGACTTGTAATTTGCTTAAGCGCACATCATAACATACATTTACATTTCAAAGACAACAACATTGTTAGTTTTTAAAGATAGCAAGTTTTTGTTTGTAGATGTTCAGCAAGCACACATTTATTGGACATTGATTAACATTTAGCTAAAGCTACTACTTTATCTTGGTTAAAAAAAATGGACATTTAGTACCACATCACCCATGATAACTAGCCATTAAGTCAAACTGAATAGATACAACAGGATTGTGCATAATAAAATACGGTTATACCAACCAGTAACTTTAGCAATAGATAAATTTCCTAACATTGTAACAATTTACAGTTGTTGTTTGAATTTTGATGCAAAATTTCTTTTTTTTCTTCTTTACCAACACAAGATTTAAATACTGAGGATAATATTTAAACATTACAATACATAATTATTTAAATATTAATTAAATCTTAAGTTACATCCAGACATTTCTGTCCATGTTTCTTTATAAAAATGTTAGTTTCTCTGTAACAGTTATGGTAGACAGCACCGTACAGGAATAATTGCCTTTCATTGTTCGTCATGTCTATTTGAGGAAAATAAAATTGAATTATGAAGTGCTTTTTTATTAAGAATTGGCAGTTTATCATCTTACATCTCATCATGAGTTTACTTGATAATTTAATGCTGAGCACGTATCAAATTTAATTTGATTCAATTCATAATAAAGTAATAAAAATGTTAAAATTATAATACGTATATATGCAAAAGCTCCTATGCATAATATAAAACAACAATTCATTAACAAATAACAATGCTAGACCTCCAAGAAGTATAATTATGAGCTTTTATCCACTGGTTTGGTTAATAATAATATAAATACAATAACAATAAAAGTAATTTAAAAATATAGATAAAAATAATTAACATAATAGTAATATAATATGATAATAATGACAGTCTATTATATAACACTTGCTTTGAGCAGATGGGTTTGCAGTGTTCACCCACCTTATGGTTCAACGTCAATAAAAAGAAAAACAAATTACTGTAAATGACATTAAACGATAGAACTAAACAATGTTACATTCAACAATGATCTTAACTAAATACTCTATTATTAATAAAAGCTTTAAAAATCTTGCTCTTAATTCAGACTCTGTACATTGAAATTAATCTGACAGGTTGAGGAGCAATAAATAAATAATATATATTCTTTTCTAATTAAAAAATTGTATAAATTGGTAATCAGAGCAAATCTCAGTTTAATTACAATATTTAATTTGCTCTATGAATATGTGATGGAGTTGAACAGGTAGCTGATTAAAAATTCAGGCACATGTATAAGAAAAATTTGATCCAAACTTACAACTCGTTTTTCCCTGAAGTCGATTCCTACTGTTGATATAAACTTGTTGTTAAATGTTGAATCTGTGTATTGGTAGAGGAAACTGGTCTTGCCGACACCCGAGTCGCCTAGCGCCAGGAACTTGATTAAGTAATCATATTCCGTCATTGAAGAAGATGTCGGATCTCCCATTGCTTAGTTACTAATAAACAATCTAGAAAAAAAAAATATGTAAAAATGTAATTTCATCTCTTTAAGTACGATTTTTTTTAAATATGGATCTACCGCATTTTTGTTAATTTCTACTCCAAATGCATTTGAATAATATTGAAAATGCACTGAGAGTCACTGACAGAGTAAATAATTATGATAAGTTAGCACTTTTATAGTGCTTCATGACAAAAGGCCTCTTAAAGTACTTCCCATTATAACCGCGCTCATTGGATTAAGCACATGGAAAACATACTTAGGTACCTGGTGAGAATTCTATAATTTTGCAACTGTAATCAGCGAATTTTGTATTTGAACCTGCCAGGTACCCATTTACACTCCTAGGTAGAGAAAGAGAACAACAAGTACAGTGCCTTGTGCAAAGATACAAGCGAAATACACAACAGGGTATTGAACCTCCAACCTCAAGGTCAGGAAGCAAATTAATTGAGAACGTGGTATAAAAAGAGCCATGAACGCAGGTAACAAAATGTCATAATTATGTAAAGAATTTGTATTTATAGTACAATGTTATAGAAAAATACCAAACAAAATCTGCACATGAAAATACACCCACTGAAATTATGATCTCTCCAACACCTAGATTGCTGTTTTATGTTTACATCAAGGGTTACGGATTGTGGAGCATAGCGGTCGATATTAGTAGTTGAAACGGCAGAGATGTTAGCCAAAAATTTGCAGTACTTGTAAATAGAATGAAATGCTTTTGAAAGAAATTAATTTTTAAGTTTACATGTTAATGTTATAATAGTCTTTATATACTGTAGTTGTCTCATGTACAGTAAAGCCTGTATCTCAGAAAATATTGATTTGTCAATAATTTTTACAATGACATTTGCTGCGTTAATAACAAAAAAAATGAAATAAAATTGAATGTTAGATTAATATTAATATCCGCTTCCTTACATACCTTCAAAAAATTGTCACTAGGTTGGGTAAATATAATATTGTTCACCTAAATATAACTTTACTGAGCATAGTGTCAACGTTGAAATCTAGAAAATTTATAGAAGTCAAAAACCTCAAAATTAAAATACTAATAGTAAAGGATTTTAAAACATTATAAAACTCTGAAAGACAAACAGGAAAATTTTCCCTGATTAAATATTTTATATTGCAAAAAATCCTTAAATTTCACATTAATCCTTAAATTTATTTTAAAATACCAGCTAATGTCTAAGCAAACGATATAAAACAATATTTACAATATGCATTAAGGTATTGCTTGGCAAAGAAAAGATTTTAAACCTGAAAACTATATACTGTATCTCCAATACAGAGGTCAAAATACAGACATAAATTCATCTTAAATGTTTATATAATGATATTATGTACAAGATATGCCATATCCTGTTTCAAAAAAATTGAGCAAACCCAAAAGTATTAATGAAATACCAAAACCATTCTTCTATTTGTTATATCTTCAAAATTATTAACATTTGTTATATAACTTCTAAAGCAATCTTGACATAAACACCTTAAACAATATCGATAAATATGTAATTTTAACTCTATAAAAAAAAAGAAACTACAGTAATCAGCTTGGTAATTAGGATGATTGCCCTCCAATCCCTGGGTTTCAGGTTAAAATTCTGTTAAAAACAAGGACATATTTTTTATCTTATGATTAAAAATATAATAAGCAGCATCACACTCTAAGCATACTTTTGAGAGTTAAAGCATAACTCAGAGTTGAAGAATTAACAGGTCACTTTTTTATCACTAGATTAAGAAGTCACTTATATATAAACACGCTAGCAATATCAAATAAAAAATTAATATATTAAAAAAAATGAATATATAATGAATAATAAATAAGTTGAGTCTATCCATTGAGTCATTGGCATCTACAGTCAAAATTAACAATGTCAGTATACATTACAGTAACTCATCAATAAAAAACATATTTAATGTAGGTTTATTTAATTGAATGTACAGCAACATGGAACCCCCTATTTTCATATTTCTCATAATAGGGACCAGTCATGCTTTAATATTTTTTATACTGTTTTCCTCCAACATTATATACAAAATATATAATATTCTTTTATTAAAAAAGTCTCATAATTGAGGCTTATTGAGTCGTTTCAAGAAAAACAATTCTACTGTTATATTATTAGCCATCAATTTTACCGGTAAAAACAACAGGCCAACCAGTAAAAATGTTGTGGTTGTAAAATAAAACAAAAACTACTAGGTAATCAAAGCTGGCCGCCTTTCAATAAACCATCATTCTAGTATATATGCCTAGACTATGACTGTATGTCGGTGTTTTTTCAAGTTTTGATGATTTTGTCCTGTGTTGTTGGAAAGTAATAAATCTAAACAAACAACAAACAGGTTTGGGAATAAAACATAGCATTGTCTTTAGAATTGAACCAAGAACTTTTGGTTTCAAAGGCAAGTAACCACTAATCCATGGCGCTATCCTAATAGCAGTATGTAGGTATGTAGTGTTTTCCATTTTTCAAGTTATGTACTATACGGTAATGATAATGGCAGAGATTTACAGCTTGCACAAATTACAAACTGCCTCCATATGCTTGTCAGCAATAAGTCATGATAGGCAGGAAAAGCCAAACAATAAATTTAATTTAAATTAATTTATTCCGCATCATACACATTAGGATAAAAAAGTATAATGAATACAATGACGAAAATAGTTATGTTACTGTAAACTTCCTGTACTAAATGAAGAAACAACATACCGAAACACAGTGAAAAAAATTATACACTAAATTGTATTTATAGTCAGTAAAATGTCAATCTTAAATAATAAGCCAAGTCATATGCACACATAATTTCAATTCAATACATTTCAATTGCCAATCCTACAGCACAAATTAGAAATTAAACATTATGTAAACAAGCAGGAGTCACAGAGCAAGGAAAGCACATATGGAGAACTTCTCTATACTAATTACACTTACTTACATCAACATGTTATCAAATAAAACAATAAAATATCAAAATCAACTTATATATCAATTAGTGATCTACCTTTGGCAGAAATGAACTTTTAATAAATCAGGAAAATATTACATTAACTATGGAAAGAAACAAAAAAACTACACTAAGATATGGTAGAGACATAAATCATGTATTATTTCAAAAAATTTATTATAATCAGGAATACAGTACAGTAAAGTAAAGAACTAATCAATGACAATTCTTCCCATAAAAGCACATGAGCAACAAAACAAATTAAATAATACCATGTCTACAGTATAATATAATTAGAATGGTAATCATACACAAACATCTAAAAATATGGTAAGGGTACTAGGTAGATAGGTGGACAAGACGACTAAATTTGAAATGGAGAATCAATTACATTTACAAAATACAGGTACATGGCTACTTACATAATATTAAACTGTTTACTATTAACTGTTAGATGCATTTGAAATTCTGCAACACATTGTACTACTGTATACCACACAGAATGCATTGCATGAATGCTATAACAAAATTACCGAGTGTTGCCATAGCAACACTTGTAGACATCCTCCGATGCCTGACAGTAATTAGAAGCAATTCACGGACTAGGTAGAATCTGCCGTATTGATAATTTCAAATACCGTGTGTACAATTTTCTAAACACAGTGACAACCTGCACACGACAGAACCGAGCAATACTCATGGGTTCGGAGTGCTGACCATGCATCAGTGCACAAAAACTAATTCCATCTTCTAACAAAATCTACATCAAACTAATTACCTGTCACATCTTAATGACCCCTTAACTTACTAGAAAATCAATAATTAGTCAGTGTTTCTAAGAGTGATTAACTGTTAATGGAAAGTCTGCTATTATAATCTAAAGTGTATCATTCTTTCAACCAAAAAAAAAATGTATTTTTAACATAAACATGTGCAGAATTTAGGTATTACAACATTCTATATTACATTTGATGGGTTAAATTTGCATAAACAATTTATGAACCATTTATACATCTGGTGACCAAGATACTCTATTATACAATTAATTTTATTAACTGGTTTTTTGTTTTGTTTTGTTTTGTTTTTTTGCTATATTGCAGCCCTTTGCACTTTATACATGCAAAGGGCAGTCTTTTTTTAATTCTATTTATTTATTTATTTATTTATAATTTTGTATAGCTTTTATATTTTGTATATTTTGTAACAATTTAAAACCTGTGGCAAAAAAAAAGGAGTAAAAACAAAAAAGCAAAAAAAAAACTCTCAGGGGCAATCCATCTATCACCACTTGTGTTTTCAGATATTTACCAAACGTACCATGGTTTTCAACTAGGATATCCATTTATGTGAACTTATCTCAATTAAAAAATGTTGTGAGAATGAACGACTTATCTACCTATCTCGATCCCGGCTCAGCCCCCATATTGACCCTGGCATGACCGAGATTGACATTTCCTCGTCGGCTGTCGACCAATCAAAGTCGATGATGCCGTTGCGTTTAGAAGTTCTTGAATTAAAAACCCGCGAGTTCTTCATGACGCCGTTTCGTTTAGAAGTTCTTGAATTAAAAACCCGCGAGTTCTTCATGTGTGTTCAATCAAGACGAAATCATTAAAATTAAAAGTTAATTCAAATTTTAATTAATAATAATGCGATTGATTTGGAGCGACCAGAAAACTGCTGACCTGGTAGATTTGTGGGGCCAACCCGAGCTGAGAGACCGGATAGAAAATAAAAAACAAACAACAAAACTCCTTTTAATCGTTCTGGATAACGATCTGTCTCTTATACACATCTAGATGTGTATAAGAGACAGGTGAAGGCATTGCGAGCCCAATACAAGCTGATAAAAGATCAGTTGAAGAAGAGTGGTTCGGGCACGTCTGGTGTAAAATCTTTGATTGCGATCCACCCAATCACACGCGCGTATATCGAATCCTGTGAAACAGAGTTGGGCAAACTCTCTCTTAACGGCTCTGCTGTTTCGACTTTCATAATTTGAAGGTCAATCCAACTAGTGTGACCGACCCAGAATTTCGA